CACTAACAAGTACTTACGGCTGCTACAACAACCACTAACCACCGCTACCACAACCTTTACTACTACGACTACTACGACTACTAACTACTGCTACTTGACTGCAAAACCTGCTACTGCTACTGCTACTACTACTACTACAACTTAACTACTACTAAGTAGTAGTATTCTAGTATTACTACACTACTACTACTACTACAACTACTACTACTACTACTACTACTACTACTACTACTACTACTACTACTACCACTACTCCTACCACTACTACCACGACGACGACTACGAAAACTACGACTAAAAAATCATTCCAGCTGTTTTACTGCAACTGCTGGGGCTACTGCTCCGGACGCTACAGCGACTATTGTATCTTATGGCTACACTCGTATTCTACTACGACTACGACTACGACTACGACTACTACTACTACTCCTACTACTACCACGCCTACTACTACTACTACTACGACGACTACTACTATTACAACTACTACGACTGCAGTAGTATTACTAGTACTACTACGACTACGACGACGGCGACGACTACTACTACTGCTACCACTACTACTACTACTACTACTACTACTACTACTACTACTGCTACTACTACTACTACTACTACTACTACTACCAGCACCGCTACTACTACTACTACTACTACGACTACTACTAATACGACGACTACTACTACTACTACTACTACTACTACTGCCACTACTGCTACTACTACTACTACCATTACTGCTGCGACTATTATCACCACTGTTTTCAGAACTACAACTGTTGATGTTGTTCTTCTGTTGTTACTGGTGCTGCTACCACTACTGCTACAGGCTGGGAACGGTTTTCTCCTAACGCGGTCCCATGGTCCATGGTCCCATGCCGCGTAGCAACAATAATCATGTGATCGACGGTTGCACTATGTGAGACACTGGCCGAACACACTGCATTTCCGATGTCCATTCCCACTTCGCCCGTTGTACAGGTCGCACAGTGGTGGGGCCATATCGTCACGAATGGTTCCGCCCACCACGTGTGTAAATTAATGTCATTTCCAATTCTTGCGCCTCGGAACATCTAAGGCGAAACCGTGCCCAAATCAGGCCAAAACAATTAAATTCTGAGGACGTCTCAAGCGAAACAGGACCCAAACCGGGGCCACACCAGGCAAATGGTGAGGACGTCTCGAGCGAAAACAAGCCCAAACCAAGCCAAACCAGCCTAGCGAAACCGTGACCAAAGCAAGCCAAGCCAGGCAAATTTCAAGGAGATCTCAAGCGAAACCGGGCCCGAACGATGCCAAACCATGGCCAAACCATGCAAATTGCGAGGACGTCTCAAGCGAAACTAAACCCAAACTAAGCCAAACCAGGGCCACACCAGACAAACCGTGAGGACGTCTCGAGCGAAACCGGGTCCAAACCAAGCCAAACCAAGGCCAACAGAGGGGCGGTTGGACCACATGTCCACTGAGGCGGACGGGGTTCGGCGCTGAACGTTTCGTTTGTCTTTCGGTTGCTCTTGGGGCCCTGGTGTGGCGAAACGAGAAAAATCCCAGAGCCTGTGATATTAGTAGTACTGGAAATAAGATCAATAATATTTCCAGTCGTATTTCTAGTACGACGACTACTACCACTACTACAACAACTACTACCATCCCTACTACTACTACTACTACTACTACTCCTACTCCTACTCCTACTCCTACTCCTACTCCTACTCCTACTCCTACTCCTACTCCTACTCCTACTCCTACTCCTACTCCTGCTCCTACTCCTTCTACTACTACTACTACTAATAATAATAATACCACTAACATTACTACTACTACTACTACTACTACTACCACTACTACTACTACTACTACGACTACTACAATAACAACTACCACTACTACTACTCTAGCACTGCAACTACTACAAATTCTACTACTACTACTACTGCTGCGACTAGTGTTACGACTACGCTTACAAACACTATTGAAGTTACGACTACTACTGCGACAACACCTACTACAACCTCACATACGGCTAGTACTACTACGACTACGACCACGGCTCCGCCTACGACAATTACAACTACAACTACGACAACTACTAGTACGACTACGAGTATTACCACCACCAATGATAATAACAACACAGCTACCACCATCACCGCCACGACCACCACCACCACCGCCACTACTACGACTACTACGACTACTACGACTACTACGACTACTACGACTACTACGACTACTACTACTACTACTACTACTACAACTACTACTACGACTGCTTCTACAACTACGACGACTACTACTACTAATACTACTACTACTACTACTACTACTACTACTACGACTACTACTTCTTCGACCACTACCACTACTACTACCACTACTATCTACTACTACTACTACTACTAGCTAACTACTACTGCTTAACTACATGGCCACCACTACTACTAACTACTACTACTACTACTACTACTACCCTACTACCACTGCTACTACTAATACTACTACTACTACTAAAAAAAAAAAAAAAAAAAAAAAAAAAAAAAAAAAAAAAAAAAAAAAAAAAAAAGAAAAAAAAAAAAAAAAAAAAAAAAAAAAAAAAAAAAAAAAAAAAAAAAAAAAAAAAAAAAAAAAAAAAAAAAAAAAAAAAAAAAAAAAAACAAAAAAAAAAAAAAAAAAAAAAAAAAAAAACAAAAAAAAAAAAAAAAAAAAAAAAAAAAAAAAAAAAAAAAAAAAAAAAAAAAAAAAAAAAAAAAAAAAAGAAAAAAAACTACTACTACTACTACTACTACTACGACTACGACTACGACTACGACTACGACTACTACTACTACTACTACTACTACGACTACTACTACTACTACGACTGCTACTACTACCACAACTACTACTACCACTACGATTACTACTACTACTAATACTACTACTACTACTACTACTACTACTACTACTACTGCACTACTGCTGCTACTACTACTACTACTACTACTACTACTACTACTACTGTAAACTACTACTACTACTACTACTACTCCTACTACTACTACTACTACTACTACTACTACTGTTACTACTTAATACGACTGCCTACTTTTTTTTGATTTTACTACTAATACCAACACCACATCCACGACGACCACTACTACCACTACGACTACTACTACTACTACTACTACTACTACTACGACGACGACGACGACTACTACTAGTACGACTACGACTATTTCTACCACTACTACAGATACAATTCGAACTACCATGGTAACCGCCACCACTTCTACCAGTACCACCACTATTACGACAACTCATACTTCTACTACTCCTACTGTTACTACTCCTACCACTACTACTACGACGACGACTACTACTACTACGACTACTATTATTATTACTACTACTACTACTACTACGACTACTGCTACTACTACGACTACTACGACTACGACTACGACTACGACTACGACTACTACTACCACTACTACCACTACTACTACTACTGCTGCTGCTGCTACTACTACTACTTTTACTTGTACTTTTACTACTACTACTACCACTACTACTACTACTACTACTACTACTACTACTACTACCACTACTACTACTACTACGACTACGACTACGACTACTACTACTACTCCTTCTACTGCTGCTACAGCACCTACCACAGTTAGGATGACAATTACTATGGTAACCATGACCACTGCTACAAGTACCACCAAAACTACGACTACTAATAGTACTACTACGACTCGTGCTTCGATAATTGTCAGTTTGCAACGTTCCATTCAGGACGAAACACAACCAACACGCGTCAGGCAGCGAAGTGCGTTCCTTGTGTGGGACAACGGAGATCTGAAATTAGATGAACATCCTGTTCAAAAACATGTTCCTTGCGTGGTTGGAGAATGCTGTTGAAGATTGTAAAGTGACCTTCCGGGGCAACCTTTCCTAGTTGGAAAATTATCCTTCCGGCTGGAGGTTTGCAAGAGACGTGCGCGCGGGTGGCGGTGGGCGTCTGCTCCTCCCGCGCGCTGGAGGTCCCCCCCCCGCCCTGGCACACCCCCTGACCCTGGCCCTGGCCCTCGAGTCTCTCTCCTCGGGGGGGCGTCCAGGCGGGGGGCTTCCAAGAGGGGGGGGCGCAACTCATGGCCGGCGGCATGTGCGCGGCCCAGAGGGGGTGGCCGGGGACGCATTGGAAAAAGATACGGCGCCATCAAACCTGGGGAGAGTACGTGGCCCCCGCCATGATATCCCACCCCCTAATGATCAACCCCCTCTTGCCTTGCCTCCCCGGACCTCCTTGCTCTCGAAGCTCTACTGCGCGGCACGTGGCAACGCCTGGGATCTATGATAGCCGCCACGCAGCACCGAAGCGGTGCGGGAGGCAAGCGATTGTACAACACTCGCCATAGCAGCAGGCTAGACAACAATCAAATCACCGGACAGCTCGCCCCTCGGCCCCCTGCCAGCCCCACGCCAAGGGGCGAGCATATATACGGGCGCAGCACTACGCTGGATGCGTAGCCGTCGGCTGGGCCAACCAAGCGAATGACACATCGCGTTGCGGCTGGATGACCGCGTCGAGCACAGCTCTTCTGGGTTCCTCCCTCCTCCTCCTCCTCCTCCTCCTCCTCCTCCTCCTCCTCCTCCTCCTCCCCCGCTAGCTTAAAACTGCCACCGAAATATCCTCACCGGCTGGCTTAAAAATGCCACCGAAATGTCCTCACCCGCTGGCTTAAAGCTAGATAACAAGAACATTATACTCTTCTCGTCATGCGGCAACGCCTGGGGGGCTACACAAACATGCTTCCATTACGCTCGCCAAAAAGCCACGCAGCGGGCCGAACAAACACGCATTCCAATCGCTTCGGGCGGGGCGGGGAACGAATACCACTCCACTCGACTCGTCACGCGGCAGCGCCTGAGCGGCGAAACCAGTATGATTTCATTCGCACTCGCCAGATGGCAACGCAGCAAGGCGTCAGCAACGGGGCGGCACCCGCCTGCGCCGCACTCGCAGCTGCAGGCCCCGTCGGCGCACGTGCGCCCGCTGCCCACCTCTCGAGGGGCGGCGGCTCAAGGGGAGGCTGGGGAAGGGCAGGACAGGACAGGAATCCGCCCTACCACGGCACCGATGGGGACACCGATGAGACCGATGAGACGGGATGGGACGGGATGGGATGGGACGGGAATCCGCCCTACCACGGCACCGACGGGGACAGGATTGGGCGGGATGGGACATGATCGCGACAGGACAGGGAGGACGGGAGGGGACAGGAATCTGGGTGGACAAGTACTGACAACAACGTAAGACTCGGAAGTCCGAGCGGATTCCTCGGATCGGCACTCGGGCCCCGTGGCGGCACCTCCGGCGCCGCCCCTGGCGCGCTCCGCCCCTGGGAGAAGGTCCAGCGCCGATCCGAAAAATCCGCGCGGACCTGAGAATTGTCATGTTTATGTCTGTGCTTGTTCCCCGAACCATGGGACAGGAATCCGCCCTGCCTGCTGCCGCAAGTCCGTGTCGTGCGAACTTCGGCATTGGTGTCTGACACCGCGGGGACCGCTCAACCCTCAAGGTTCGGCCGTTTCTGAAACGTCAGATGGTTCAACATCGACCGATGCTGGGTCGCTGTTGGCGGCGCGCACTGATTCGGGGGGAAGGGGAGAGGGGAAGGCTTCGTGGGAGCAGGCTGCTTCTTACAGGGCGCCAGCCTTACATCTATAGAGAAGGCCCGCGTCTTCTAAGAATCAGGGGTGCTTCTGAGAAGCCTTTCCCCCTCCCCCTTTCCCCCCTCTGCGCGTGGCCGACGCTGGCGGCGTTCAACGTGGAACGCGGGCCGGCGGCGGGGTCGCCGCTGGTCTACGCGACGTGAACCCACCGTACATGCTATTCCTATTCCCTCCAATCGGCGGCGAGCGAGAGGGGGAAGTTAGGAGGAAGAGGCTTTCTCAAAAGGCGGCCGTGCTTCTCGGAAACCCTCGCGCCTTCGGAGAAGTCTTCCGTGTCTTCGGGGCAGGCTTCGGGAACTTCTCCCAAGGCCTGGGACTTTCGGGCCCTCTGAGAAGGCCCGCGTCTTCGCACTCCCCCCGGGCTCGCCGCCGATCCATCGTGCTGACCACCACTGGCTATCACTTGCTCTCACATTCGTTGCTCTTGCCCTGGGCTTCGTGGCGGGCCATTGCATCCTGCCCTGCCCTTGAGAGGGCTCCTGGATGTGGACCGAGTAGATGTGGTCGGAGGATCGCACCGCATCGCCGATGCATCGGCGAGGTATCGGAGGTGCACCGGCGATGCACCGGCGATGCATCGGCGACGTCGGCGGTGCATCGGCGACGCCAGCGCGAAGAAAGTCGGGCTCCGCATCGAGCCGCACTGATGATACATCGGCGATGCGGCGTGACCCTGCGACCCCACCTACTCCGACCCCATCTAGGAGGCCGAGAGTCCTTCGGAAGTTTCCTGCTGCTCTGTGCGCCCCGCGTCTCGCGCCGGCGCGCGGGAGCGGGCACATCGTCGATCGGCCAGGTGGCGCTTGGCCGCTCCCACGGCTTGCCTGAGAGGGGCAAGTCAGAACGGTATGTGACCACTCGTGGGAGCCTCCCGTGTCATCTTGCTGGCTGTTGCGAATCGACGCCCAACGACGCCGATCGACGCTAGATCGCGTGTTATCATGCTCTACCCTGGTTACGCTAGCGCACACTGGTGCACTCTACAGGCGGAAATCCGAAGACATACACTTAGATACTCGCCGTGGAAACCTTCCTGGAACCACTCGCTCCACTCATACGTCGATACTGCCTCGAACAGCCGTCGACTTGAATCGAACTTGACTCGAACTAGAGCTACTTGAGTCGAACAAAAAACTATGGGCAAACTAGAATCTAACAGGTTTGGGTCCCCGACGCAAGCATAGAAATACAAGGCGTTGCTGCCGAAAAACGGCACCGACGACGAGTGTCCGCGTGTCCGCAATGGGAGAGCCGAGCCCGCTGACAACAAAACGAAATATGAAGCGCACTTTGAAAGGGACTTGTTTCCAGCGGTGAGAAATATGGGGGCCCAACCCTCCCTCAGCCGCCCGCAAGACGGGGGAGAGGAGGAGGAACAAACCATCATATTATACAAAAGGCATGGGGAAACAAAAACCCGTTGTCCAATCCTCTGTGGGGGGGTCCCGGGTGGAGATTCGGTCTCTTTACAACCAGAACAACCACTTTACAACCAGATGGGTTACTTTACAACCAACATAGGATTGGAAAGTATGGTTTTCCATCGAGAACGTCCACTTTGCAACCAGAACGGCCCACTTTACAACCAGAACGAACCACTTTACAACCAGAACGGGCCACTTTACAACCAGAACAGACCACTTTACAACCAGCTCAGAGTGGCCGTGCGTGTTTGGGCGTTCCGCAAAGTGCTCCAGAGCAAGTGGGCGCTTTGAAAAATGCCCCAGAGCAAGTGGGCGCTCTGAAAAATGCCCCAGAGCAAGTGGGCGCTCTCAAAAGTGCTCCAGGGCGCGCAGACGCTCTGAAAAGTGATCCAGAGCACGTGGGCGCTCTGGAGCCCGAGCGCCTGAACTCTCTGCGCAGGCCCCAGCGATGCCTCTGAGCCCGAGGACCTGGACGCTCTGCGCAGGCCCCAGCGATGCCTCTGAGCCCGAGGACCTGGACGCTCCGCGCAGGCCCCAGCGATGCCTCTGAGCCCGAGCGCCTGGGCGCCCTGAGCAGGCCCCAGCGATGCCTCTGAGCCCGAGCGCCTGGACGCTCTGGCGCCCTGAGCCCAGCAGACTAAGACAGGGCTTGCTAGCAGGGGCCAAGCGGCCTCAATAAAGGCCCCGTGCTCGCACGGGAATAAGGCGACAGCGTACGTAGGAAGGCTCAGGGCGACGCGCTGCCCATTTTAGGGGTCACTCACAGGAAGCGGGCCCAGTGGCCTCCACAAGGGCCCAGCGCTCCAGGGAACTAGGCCATTGGCACCGCGGGTCTCTTGGGCCACGTTGGCCCCTGAAGCCCCACGGTGTTCTGCAAGGGGCTAAGCGCGCCAGCTCCAGTTGGCCCCCTGCTGCTCCTCGTCTTGGAAGATCGAGGTTCAACGTTCCGAATAAATGCAACTATTTCGAAGATCGTTTCTTCCAGCGTCAGCCACAGTGCCAGCGCAGCAACGCAGGTATCCTGCTCGGGCAGCAGCCTCAGCCACCGTGCCAGCGCAGCAGCTTGAGCCACCGTGACAGCGCATCACCGCCACCTTTGTGCCTGCTACCACCACACTTACCGCTGCAACCCCGCTACCTCCACAATTCCACCTGACCCCCCGCTACTACCGCAAATCCCATTGCAGCCCAGCTACCACCACAGTTCCCACCGTTGCCTGGCGACCACCACAGTTGCCACCGCAGCTTCCCAACACCACGCAGTTCCCATTGTAGCCCCCGCTACCACCGCATCTCCCACTACAGCTTTCCACTGCCATGCAGCTCCAGTCTTGGACGGGATCATGGTTTATTCGCATGTCCTGCGCGACTAGCCTTCGCCCGTCAGAAAAAAAAAAAGGCAGAGCCAGCAATGGCAGAACTGACCGACAGAGCTTAGAGAGCAGGTCAAAACTCGAATCCGCCCACCAGCACGCAACATGCCATAGCGCACCAGGTCGCCGCATCGCCAACTCGTGCGCAGTGCTTCTTCGTGCGCGATGGGCAACTTTACAACCGACATGCCCCAAAGAGCCCAAAGCCACCCTTGCGCTTGTCCACGGAGGTTTCAGGGAAAGGCACGCGTGCATTCAATATGTGTTTTTACTTGCCTGGTTGTAAAGTGCCCTTCCTGGTTGTAAAGTGCCCTTCTCGGATTTTGCAAGCGGGTTGTAAAGTGACCCATCTGGTTGTAAAGTGCGCTTCTGGTTGTAAAGTGACCCACACGCGTCCCGGGTGGGGTGGGGTGCGGGGTTCTAACCCCCCAGGGGGTTGTGACCCCCCCGCGGGGGGGCCCCGTGAAAAAAAAGTGAACGCCCCAGGGATCCGTTCCCGTTCCCGTTCCCGTTCCCGTTCCCGTTCCCGCTGCCGTTCCCGTCCCCGTCGTCGTCGTCGTCGTCGTCGTCGTCGTCGTCGTCGTCGTCGTCCCGTCGTGGTCGTCGTGGTCGTGGTCGTGGTCGTGGTCGTCGTCGTCGTCGTCGTGGTCGTCGTCGTCGTCGTCGTCGTCGTGGTCTCCGTCCACCCTGAAGGGGGGTCAAGAGGGAGGCTCCAGAAAAGGCTGCGGACACTTGGAGGTTTGTTGGGCTCTCCTGAGAAGCCTCTCGGGGGACTCTTGGAAGCATGTTGCAGGTTTCTTGGGGCTTGTAGGGGTCTTCTTGGGGACGTCAAGGCGGAGGACTTGGGGGTCTCCTGGGAGTTCGTTGGCGGTCTCGGAAGGTCGTTGTCAGACGCCTACGGCGAATCATCGCCGCCCCTTGCCTTTTGGAAACGCCGACGCGGCCAAGCGTTACGGCGAAGTTTGGCCCAGGTGTTGGACCAGGTGTTCCCCCAGCCGTTGTTGAAGCCATTTGGGAAAACACTTGGGTGAGGAAAATGGGGGAGGAGCAGGATAGGGGGGGGACGATGGTGATGAAAACGAAGAGGCACATGAGATGATAAGGAGGGGGGGGAGGAGGCCTCTTGGAGGTATTGTGGGGTTTCTTGCGGGTTTTTGGAGGCCACGTTGGGCCAGCTGGACTCCTTTTCGGGCAATCTTGGCCGTCTTGGAGGGCATCTTCGGTCGCCTCGGGGGCCATGCAGGGCCGTCCTGGCAGTCTTCGACGGCACGCTGGCCGTCCTGGAGGCCACACTGGACCATCTTAGCACGCTTGAATGCAATCTATTACGTGTCTCAGGCCATCTTGGAGGCAATCTTATCCGTCCAGGAGGCCATCTTGGCCGTCGCGGAGGCCATCCCCAGCGTAGCCCACCCAGCCATGGTTCTGTTAAAGCACTCGTGCATATCCAGCTGCCTGCGGCAATTCCCGCCACCGTGGTGATGATGATGATGTTGATCCTGATGATAATGATGATGATGCTGATGATGAGAAT